AGAGAGTAAGAGATATATATATATATATATATACATACATATGGTTTTACCGTTGGCTGAATTAAAATAAATCAAGACCAAAAATAATGGCCATGGGATTGGAACTTGGGGTGTAAACGAGCCGAACACGAGCGAGCTATATTTCGAGCTCAAAAAGTGTGTTCTCGTTCGACTCGTCTGCTTAGCGAGCTGAATACGAGCTGTTCACAAAACAAAGAGTCATTTTGACAACCCTAATCACATAGTCATAAGATGTTAAGGGTTGATGCCAGATTTAAAAATTATTGTTTATATTAAAACATAATTTGAATGTAATTTAATAATTTTTATTCTATTTTCTTAATTAATACTTTTAATTGATTATTAATATTTGTAGCTTTTTAGTCAAATTAAATTTTTAAAAAATACTACTCATCTATATATATATATAATTGATGAGTAGTATTTGGAGCCAAAATAAAGTCAAACACGAACGAACAAATCTTTGTTTGTTTTTGGCTCCTAGTATTTCGAGCCAAAACGAGCTGAACACGAATGAACAAATTTTGGTTCGTGTTCGACTCGTTCCCTTAGCGAACGAGCCGAATACAAGCTTCTTAACAAGCCGAACAAGAGTTGTTCGCGAAGGGTTTAGGGTTAAATAAAGCTAAACTTGTATGTATCCCTCATTTTGTTAAAAAGAAATTCAACACGATTATTAAAAGAATAATGGTATAGTTAGCTTAACTCTAACTCTCTTAAAATCTTCTTAACAGATACTAAAATTAAGTTTTAAGGCATTCAATCTAATTCTTTTATTAATTATTATAATATAAATGTACAATACAAGTTACCCATAATTTAGGGGTCATTTGAAATCATTTTTTTTTTATTTTTTTATTTATCATTAATTTTATTTTTGCTTTATTTTGTTTATGTTTTGGCATTAAATATTTTATTTGGTATTTTCAAATATATTTTTTAAGGGAAAAAAGAACATGCCTTCCACAAAATTTTCATTCAACGTTTTGTCTTCTAATTCTAAATGCTAGAAAGTAGCCACATTTGTGGCAGAACTTCTGAGACAAACTTCTTATGAGAAAGCTATAAAGCTTATAAAATAAAAATTTTATCACAAAAAATTACAAATTTAATAATTATTGATGTGTACTAGAAGATTCGCAGTGGGAGAGTAATGAATTATCATCTTAGCATTACAGGAAGGACAGAAGGAGACGTCTTATTTTTTTACGTGAAAAACCCTTGAAAGCGAAAAAAACAATGGGGCCTAGAACAGTTGAAATTATCCACTATTAATAATGAGTACACGGGTCCACTCTTCTTCTCAATTAGGAAAGATAAAATTATAAAGTCGTATAGCTGTAATTTAGTTGTACTTCTTGGCAATAACAGACTGCAAGGGTCATAGTCGATTGTTGTGAAGGTGACAGCCTGTTGTGAGTGTTGTACATGGTAGTTGTAGCACCATCTTATCGTAGGAGCCGTAGTTGATAACTATGACAATATTTGGTCAGGTGGAATGTAGATGGTTGCTCCATGAGCATTGATTAGCCAAAAAAGTCGTAGTTGGTAGTTGTGGGAGTTGTGGATGATGTAGGTCGTTGTGGTGAATAACATTCATAAACTGTGGGGGTTGGAGTCGGGCGCT